TATGGTAGGGTAGGTAGGTAAGTAGCTAGGGTATGTGTAAGTGGTATGTATGTATGTACGGAGTATGTGGTATGTAAGAGAGAAGAGCGTTGGGAGCAAAGTGGGTTGGGTTATAGGAATTTGCTTGGGTTCTGCTTGGTCGGCTTAGTCTGCTTAGTCTGCTTGTCTACTTGATTTGCTTGATTTGCTTGATTCGCTCGATTTTCTTGATTTGCTTGGTGCGAAGTGGTGAAAAGGTGGATACTCGGTATATCTCACGTAGGGTTAATAAAATCCAATCTATACTTATTTCATTGGTTCATACCAACTGTTTGATTAGTTTCATCGAAGCGAAACACATCAATTTCATTCACCAACTTCACTATTCGTTCATTATACCATTATACTTTTAACTTCTCCAGCTTTTCATTGATCTGATTTGATCTGATTTGATCTGATTTGACTCGAGTCAAGTCTGCCCTACCTGCATCAGCCAGTATAACTTTTGCCCCTTTGCCAGCGAAATAGAGGAAAAACAATCATCGCTTCTCTGGTTAATGATCTTCTAAAGTAATAATACTTGGAAAGGGATTTTCCCTTTATTTCTTCCTTTAGCTGCCGCTACTACATTGCCAACACTACACTACCTATCAGACTACTGTTTACTCATATGCCATGCAGATTAGATATCTTCAAGATTCTGCGACAGACAACGTACTTACTCAGCACCAATTTCATTTTGCATGTACGAAGCTTCAGTCATCAATCTCTCATGGTGGCTGCGGTAATCTTGATGTTAAAGTAGGGTTACACTACTAGGTGTCTACGTCCCTGTACAAAGCTTGAACCATCAAACTCTCTTGCAATGGCGCCTTGGAGAAATCCGTATATGGATAATTCAGGCCGTCAAGATCAGGGTAAAAGAGAGACAGTATCAATTCGGTGCCGAAAGAAAACGGGAATCCACATCTGAAAAAGTTTAATTCATCATACAATGTTCATTATAGCTTGCTTTGACCCCATCCAGCATTTATACGAACAGATAACAGAAGATATTTGGGTTTTTGATACCCGATTCATCCAATAAATTTACTTATCCAATTTATTGCTTCACCACAGCTAACAATTCAAAATCTCGTCTAATTCGTCTTCAATGAAGGAGTTCTATCAAGGTATCTATCTGAACGGCTCCTGTAATGAAGACAGTGAGCATTTGGCCGGCCCACCATTCCTGTCGAATCGGCGCCTTTCAAACCTTGAAAGATAACACACATGTGGTATAATCAATGCCTCTCATGGGTGATGTACACTCATTCCAGGGAAGATATGCAAGCCATCCACTCATCACCTACATATCAGCATCGACAACGACTCAGCCCCAAAACTGATATCCACCCCGTATAATTAACGTTTCTCTTACGAACCCGGATTATCAGTAACCCTAGAATTTTTACGGTTACACTCAACCCTTCATGTATCATATTCCAGCTGGCTTCAAAGTATCTCCAAGCATATCATGGTAAGGAAGAACATTCGGAAATTCTGCGGGACGGGAACAAAATATCCTCCTATCTTACTTTACCTTACGATGCACGCACGCACCACGGTTGAACGGAGCACACGCAGATAGTATCTATCCATACTAATCGAATCGACGCTCATCTCCCGAAAACTTTATCTAGATATTTGGATGATCCTTATCACTAGTTCTACGGCAGTCCGTAGTCAAGGTATCGAGTCCAGAAATTTCACCATTTTACCATACTCGAGGTCAAAGAACCCACCATCAGAAAATTCGGTATCGCACGCAAAGGCCATTTAACATAGCGCTGTAGTGCAATGCATGGTCGATGAGCCTGCCAGAATGCTGGGAATCCAACGTCGAAGTTATAGGGCACTCGAAATAATCTCGTGTAACACAGACATCTTAGAGTTGCCGCGTTCAGAGACGACTGCATGAGAATTTTCGCAAGGGATGAGCTCGCCTGGCTCCTTGTACATATCACGTCGAACGTCCGTCAACCCCACGAGAGAAGCAAAAACCAAGAGGAACGATCGAAATTTGATATGCATGCTGCGCCCTCTCTTCGTCATAATATGATTGATCTTTATTTTCATTTTCATTGGTGTATAGTACAATATTCCGATACCACGATTTCTCTTTGGTGTTGTGAATCGATTCTTAGGTGTAATATGATCATCTGCTCACCTGCACTTATTTTCACTCTGGACAATCACACGGACCGAGACGGACAATTCTTGTTTGTTTACTTTTGAGATGATAGAGATGTTGTAGCCACCGATATTCTCATGCAGAGGTCAATTGAGCTTGTTATATATGCATTACATACTAGGTACTGTACATATACATGGGACATGATAATTTATTTGGATCAATTGAACGGATGCTCCCGCAAGCGAATTGTCTAGAATTAATTTAAGGGATAGACCCGAGAATAAAACTAGATGGCGAAATACTACGTGGGTATTTAGCTATGCCTATATGCCCAGGTTTTCTTCAGCAACTTAGATACCTAGTATTATCCACATTTCTCCATCTTCATCTCCAAATACAACAAGAAGGGAAAAAAAACAAGACAAGACAGGATAAAAACAAAAACAGAACAAAACCCATTTACTCGCGATATCCGCTCGAAATAATCTTCAATCGTTCTCGCATTGCTTGCATTTCCCACCAATATCAACTAATGCAAGTGCAAACCTAGTTACCTAGGAAAGAGAGTAAGCTTCAAGACTTTAAACCCCACGTCCACAACTTTACATCGAACTCACAAGCTCAATCGCAAACCTTAAACTCAATTTGTACTTCCCCTCCGGTCTCCGCAGGGCAAAAACAGGCAAGCAAGGCACGCAGGAAAAAAAGCAACCAAGTAGCCAGCTAGGTTCTAGCCGTCCGGAAAATCCTGGATAGACGAAATGTCCTCGATTATTACCATGTGCGGAGTATGAAGATGGGATGAAAATGGATGGATGGAGTACAAACGAACCAATAGAATAAATACCTCATTTGTGTCACGTGAACTGCATATATGCAATCCTTCTTTCGAACTTGCAATGCATACTAATAATACTAGGTAGGTACCCAGCACAGTAGTACAGTACTGGAAGGAGAGAAAAAAAAATTTATTCCTCGGAGGTAGCAATGAATAATATGCAATCAATCCTTTTAATTAATATAAATATAAAGTTAAAAAGAAGGGTCCTGGATATTCTGCCACTGTCAGTGAGTGCCATGGCGAATTTCTTTACTAATTACTACTTGCTTAGTCCGACAAGCAAGGCAAAGTCCAAACTCAGGGATATTAATTGAGGATCCCACGTGCCGCTAAGACAGCCAAGAGCTGTCTATCTATGTACTTTGTTTTGCTCTCGCACGCGGTGATGTTTTCTTTTAATTACCTACTGGAACATGCTC